AAGGGTTGAAATTTCACTGTCAGAGAAACAGTGCGATATGTTTAACACGTGGCGACTAGCTAAAGCAGCCAAACCTTCTCAGAAAACGTTTTGCTGGCACATTTTATTGGATTATCCGAGACCAAGAAATCAAGCACTGTATGGAGTGCGTATGGAATGCTAAATAAATAAATAAACGTTTCTTTTAAATTGTTATACATTTAGTTATCACATTAGTAGTGTTGTAATATTAACAATAGGTATAAGGTTGAAGCGTTGATATCTGCACTAGTTTTAAAAACTGTATTGCAGACACCGGCGCCTTCCGACTCGTTATCAATACAATCTCGTGTGAATAATTTGATCTATATCTATAATGAAAACGTTTTAAAAAGAAAATGGTAATAAACATTTTTTTTTTCCTTATTTAAATAGTCTACAGATTAATACAAGTTAGCTACATCTTGAACGGTAAATACGTATCTAAGAACAAAATAGCAACCATCAATGAATATAATATGAATATGTGTGTGTGTTTGTGTGTATGTATTTGTGTGTGTATCTGTGTATTGTTGATGTAGTGGTAAGTTTATTTTTCCGAATGTTAATGTTTTAAGTACAGTCAACTAATAAGGCATTTTAGAATGTATTAGATTATCTACTTATTAAGATATTAATCCCCTTTGATTAGGCTTTCATTGCAGATAATAAGTCTTCCATGTCATTGTAACTTAGTGTACGTAGCCAAGATGTTAAAACCTGTTTACATTTAGATACGTTTAGTGGATAAATATTCAAAATCTTATTTATATTACTATATAACCGGCTACTTAATACTTGGTTATTTTTTTCGGCTAAAGTAGTTCGGCATGTTACAGTTGGACATATTTTCCATCCTCTTCTACCTTTACCTAATGCGTTTATTTGATAAGGTGTCTGGGAGTGCTTGCGAATCACAGTGTTAAAAATAAATAATTTACGAACTGTAAGTACTTCAAATTCATTATACAGGAGTGTTGTTGAATATTTTATGTTTTTTTTTAATATTACCTTTAACACTGCTCTTTGTGCACGTTCCAACTTCAGTAATGTTGTTTTGTATATCCCCCCCATACAACACGACAATAAGACAATACGGATTGGGCCAGAGAGAAATAAACCAATTTTAGAATTTTATTATTAGCTGAGGATCTCAGTTTTTTAAAAACAAATAAGAGCTTTCTTACTTTAGCAGCAAGACCCAGTACATGTGTTTTCCAATTGAGGTTACAGTCAAATATAACGCCAAGGTACCTAACTGTAGTTATCCTCTCCAACTCCAGGCAATTGCAGTAAGGTTGATGATGACCTTGACAAATGTGTGCTTTTAGTCTAAAATCAGATGGTTGAGATCCTTTAGTGGCTGTGAAAGTAATAAATTTAGTTTTTTCAACATTAAGACTTAATAAGTTATGAGATAACCAATTCATGACCATTCTAAGAGCACATTCAGCATGATATTGAACTTCTGTCCAGGATTTTCCCGTAACCAACAGAGCTGTGTCGTCTGCATATGTGTAAATATTGCAGTTCTTAATAGAAAGTTTACACAGAGAGTTGACGTAGACCAGGAAGAGCGTAGGTCCTAACACGCTCCCCTGCGGGACACCAAATGACAGTCGCTCATCTTTACTAGTGTACTTGCCGATTTGGACTCTCTGAATACGTTCCGTTAGAAAGTCTTGAAAGATCTCAAGCACCTGACCCCGAACTCCTATTTTTTCTAGTTTAGATAAGAGTTGGAACAGAAACAGCATCAAATGCTTTTTTATATCTAAAAATATTCCAGTTACTTTCTACTTTCATTATAAATATCATACCGAAGCTAAACACAGTAGTTTTAAAGTGAGAGTTTATATAAATCACCAGGTTGGCATGAAATGTTATAACTATATTTTTACTAACTATAAATATCATAACGAAGCTGAATACAGTAGTTTTAAAGTGAGAGTTCATATAAATCACCAAGTTGGCATAAATCTTAGAATTATATAAACATCAGACATTCATAACCATCTACCATGTACTTACATAAGTTCTTAAACTATATCTAATATATTTTACCTACTCTGCAATGGACTGTCAATTGAGAGACCACAAAAACTAGACTTTTCCAGATAATAAGCTATTTAGTGGATTTCAGAGGTTCTCGTTTGATCGATATTGGTGATAAACTCAGTTAATTCTAGTTCTCAGTGAGACAACCAGTTATATATATATATAGAAATGGGTAGGTCGGGGGTCCAACCTCGCCTTGTGGTACCTACGCCACGCTCACCCAGGGTTAGTTAGAGAAATACCTTGCTTAGGATAGGTTTAGCAGTATATGATCTGTCCGCAGTTATGGCCGGTCTACATGGGACTGGAGAGCGGCTTGCAACCTTTATTGTAATAATCTCACGCGTCCCCTCTGGTCCGTGTCTAGAGAGAGAATCTCCTTGTTAGTAGCTTGTTCTTCCTCCAGTACTTCTTAAGGAGAACGCATAAGCCCGAAGTTCACATCGAAAAAACTTGGCCAGACATGGGGAAAACACATAGATTACTACATCTGCATCACTAACGGGTAGAGTGAGGGATACTCACGGCTAATGCCCACATTTTTGAATCACTACATGACCGGGAGGTCCATCCTACCGAGCTGAAAGAAATCAATTTCATGTTCACCAACTTGACAAGAATGACTAGGTATATCGGATGACAATAATCACCATATCATGCATAAGGAACGGCCCGCATTTCAATTAGTGCTAGAAGAATAAATATGATATCCGATGATTGCTTACCGAGATCGAGATGTAAAAAAAATCCGTTACTTGGTTTCCCCTATCACAAGACACTGTCCAGCCCCGCAAGATTCCGGGACCATCCACCCACGATACGGAAGATCAACAGAAAGGCCACCTTTCACAGCCATAGCCTGCAAAATAAATAGGGAAGAAGCCAATACAAGATACCTGTGAGACTCTATCACCTCGAATTACAGCTCGGCTAGCGTCTCCGCGCTATTTCCGCCAATACCCTCCAGGACATAAACTTTTCGGATCCACTTCACCGTCTCCGTAGCCCGTAGTGTCCTTCTTTCAATATACCTTGGGCAGAAAACAATTCTAGACGTGTAATTTTCAGAAAACAGATTGTGAAATTTTAAAATGTTGTTTTGACAACTGAGCATAGAGAAAAGACCACCAACTCCCAAATATGTGTCCATGACTGGTTTCTCTCTCCAACTGAAGGCAAAGGCCACAGTCAAAAAGACAGCCGCCGCATTATAGACGAGAAAACGAATAAACTCAAACCCGTATAACTATGCTCGTCGTAAGCGGAGGAAAAGAGAATACCTACCCACATCAGCGAGGAAATTCAATCTCGAGTAAAATTCAGAATCGAGTAACAAAACGCCCCATTGAGAACTCAAATCGATATGGGAAAAAACAATTCACAATTCAACAACTGTCAAACTCCATCCACTCATCCACACGCACCAACAGAGATTCACTGCCTACTTTTCCTTTTTTTGTTTTTATAAGTCTCAAGTCGAGTATTTGAGTCGAATAAAAAAAGCAACCACTCCCTCAATGCCACCAACCCAATCAATGAAGTTGGGACAGCTACGCCGACGCAAGCAGTTCGCCATCACGCCAGACAAAACAGCTGTCCTACGTGTGTCAGTTATTTCAGTGTCAGTGTCACGCCCTGTTTAAAAACAAACACTACCTACAACTTTGAATCGCTAGGTTACTTAAGGCCAAAACCGCATCTTCTGTTGATTTCCCTTTCTGAAATCCAAATTGATTGTTAGCGATAATGTTGTGCTTAGTGAGAAAACTAATCAGCCTAGTATTCAATCTTTTCAAAAATTATCGAAAGTGTAAGTAGGTAACACTGATATCGGCCTATAATTTGAGATACTGTCTCTGTCACCACCCTTGTATATAGGATGTATTAGAGCTATTTTGAACGAGTTAGGGAAAACACCACTATCTAGACAAATTGCAAAGATGGGTCAGTGGAGGAACAATAGCTTCCGCGGCTTCTTTTAATACTCTTGCTGGGATTCAGTCCCATTCCACTGCACAATTATCACGAAGTCCCATAATTACCGAAGGCAGTTCGGTTTCATCTGTTTTAGTTAGTACCATAGAGTCACTTACTTGAAATGAGTCTGTGTCAGAACTATCACAAGGAGTAATAATTTTACTAGCAAGTTCACTACCAATATTTCATATTTGGCGACAAAAGTAAGTCAGTTGCACATTCAGTATCTACTTAAGTATATTAATCAACTACTTAACATAATCTAATTAACAGGATCCATTACACTGAAAAGCCTCAGTTGGATCCTTGGACTGGCAATTCTACATGAAAAATGAGTCGTTACGAAACACCTAACCATCGCCCTCGAATCGGTACAACTATTAAGTATTATCAGATAGTTTACAAAGAAACAGTACAAAAGTCACTAACAACAACATACAGTACCTAACAAATATATTACATAACTTAAGTAACTGCAGCAACGTTACTTGAATTTTTTCTTAATTTTTTCTAAGTATTATTTGTTATAATTATAAGATTATTCTGTAATACTTACCAATCATAATGTAGTAATTAATACCTAAACTGAAATAAAAGTATCTTGTGATTGCAAATGGTTTTATTGCATTAAGTCATTTCCTCGCCGAGGTGCTTTGCACTCTTGTAAAACAAATGACCATTTTGTGCGTTGTACCCAATGATATTATAATAATAATAATAAATTTATTTATTTCTTCTTACAACTATTAACCCACTTGAAGCTAGCGTACTTTTAGTAAAAGAACGGAACATTTAAAAAAATCTAGAGATCAATGTGGGTATTATTGTAAAATTAATTTAATGCCATGATTTAATCAACATATGCGTCATTTCGTTCAATGCTGTTGTGAGTGGATTACTTGTGTTAGGTGTGATAATTTTGTATGTTGAATTTTGATGTTACAATTATGAGTTATTCCAGGTAAGTTTATATACATGTATAATAAATATAATACTAAAATAATATGAATATTAGTAAGATGAGGCTTTATACAATATTTAAAAAGTTACAGTTTGCCCTTTTTCATATTACACATATCGATTTTTGATGAATAAACTTTGTGTTCTTTATGAGGACCAATAGCCTAATAGCCTACTATGGTTTTGGACTAATTCTACTGGACTAACTAGAAAAATATAATTGTTGTTATAGGAGCCTGACCCTCAACGAAATTATCGAGGAATTAGATAAAGATGAAGATCAACCTATACCCGATATTATCACTATTTTACCACCAGAAAACTGTAACGCTGATGTAACAGATGAGGATTCTGGTGATGAAAATCTCGTTTCGATGCATAACTTACCGGGATCTCAGCTACGTGCACAAGCGGAGGTTTATTTTGGTGAGTTATCTAGTGATAGTGACAGTGATGATGAGTTGTCATTGGCTCAATTGGCTAAGCGAAGGCGACTTCAAGAAGATGAGATTGGTACTCCCCCACAAGATTCTCCACAGAGCGTGTCTTCTCTATTCCCGTCTTCTTCAGGCAGTCAAACAACAGTTGTGCCGAAAAATAAGCTGTATTGCACGGGACATACAACCTGCAACTAAGGTATGGCGAGAAGTGCAGGAAGCTGTATTGAATTATCACCCTATGTACTTTTACAATTGTTTATTTGATCATGAAATTATTGAGATGGTTATGAATTATACAAATCTCTATGCTGCCCAAAATAATAAAGAAGGTAATGATGTCGATTCTGGCATGATTATTTAAACCTAAAACTAAATTTAATATCAGTCTCTCCTTTTCATTCTGTATAGAGAACGACAAGGATACACTGTTGTCAAATTTAAGTTTAGGTTTAGAGAATCATGTCAGAATCGACACCAGTGTGTCACATAGCGAGATACAATGTTTTCTCGGAATCCTTCTATATAGTGGCTATGTTGTAGGCGACATATTATGTACTGGCAAAATCCATCAGATTGCGGAATGCCCATTGTTTATAATGCTATGACGAGAGATAGGTTCAAATTCATAATGACACACTTACATTGTTGTGATAACACGAATTTGAATCCTAAAGATAAATTTGCTAAACTAAGGTCATTATTTGACCTATTGAATAAAAAATGGATGCGTGTAACTTATGTACGCGCGTGAGAAGTTATACTTCTTTAGCATCATTAAAAATATTTTTTAATTGCATGCAAATAATTAATAATTACAATAAAATAATAAAAGGACTGGAAAAGGATAGTTAACACAGTCAATTAAGTTCAGTTTTAATTTGAAAAATTAAATAAATATTCAAAATATTCAATTAAAATCACTACTGAATTTAAGTTATTAGTCCATATGTAATTAGCACTTGTAAGTAACTAAAACACGTTGTGGTTATATAGAAACTAGAAACATGTGGATAAATATTATAAATATGAAAACAGTGATCAGAGGCGACGAGCGTGCCAACATTGTTTTTGACAACGCGATCATCTTATGGAGCTCCGTTGATCGTTCAAAGTACCTTTCGAACAGATGTCTATTAATCCACCATTATTAGACACTAACATTCATAACGCGCCCGCGGCCAACTTCATGCTGTTACTTTTGGGTAACAGTGATGCGCGCGCATCTAAAAATTTCACTCTCATCATTTTTTCATAACGCGCCTAAAGAAGTATAACTTCAAAAAATTTCAAGAGTATGCGCCAATAGAAGAAAGTCATAGTATTGATGAAGCCATGGTACCATATTACGGCGGCCATCCATGTAAACAGTTCATTCGTGGAAAACCTATTAGATGGGGCTGTAAGTTCTGGGTAGGATCTACACGTCTAGGCTATGCGAATTGGTTTGATCCATACCAAGGTCAGTCAGCTGAGGCAAATGACAACAAGAAGTTAGGCCTGGGCGCTAGTGTAATTTTACAGTATGCTGAAGTTCTTCGTAAATTAGATTCGCAAGCGCCTTTCCATCTATTTTTTGATAATTTCTTCACATCTATCCCACTCATCGATGAACTACGTCTGAGAGGTTTGAAAGCTACAGGTACTATAAGAGAAAATCATCTGTCCAAATGTCCACTCCCGTCAAATAAAGAAATTAGATCGTGGAACCTATAAGAACATGTCTACTAGAACTGAACAAATTTTAATTTGCAAATGGAATGACAACAGTGTAGTATCTGTTTCATCGAATTCCGCAAAAGTGCAACCTACAGAAAAAATAAAAAGATTTTTGCAACAACAAAAAAAGTACATATATGTTGATGAACCAGCTCTTATAAAGACCTACAATGAGAACATGGAGGAGTAGACAGGTGCAATCAAAATATAGGATTGTATAGAACTTCTATACGCGGAAAAAAATAGTATTTTTCGCTCATTTCCCATTGCTTAGATATGACTACTCACTACGCTTGGCAGTTGTCTAGAAAAAATGGTGGCGAATACGACCATCTGCAGTTTAGAAGGAGCATTGCGACAGGTTTACTTGAAACATACAAAAAAATGTGAATCGAAAAGCAGGCCGCACTTCTCAGAATTTTAGAGAAATTTCGAGGTTTGATGACATAGGTCACATAATAAAATATAGGGATAACCAATTAAGATGTGCTATATGTCACAAAAAAGCTAAATTTTTCTGCTAAAAAAAATTAGATTAAATTAGATTCGCAAGCGCCTTTCCATCTATTTTTTGATAATTTCTTCACATCTATCCCACTCATCGATGAACTACGTCTGAGAGGTTTGAAAGCTACAGGTACTATAAGAGAAAATCATCTGTCCAAATGTCCACTCCCGTCAAATAAAGAAATTAGATCGTGGAACCTATAAGAACATGTCTACTAGAACTGAACAAATTTTAATTTGCAAATGGAATGACAACAGTGTAGTATCTGTTTCATCGAATTCCGCAAAAGTGCAACCTACAGAAAAAATAAAAAGATTTTTGCAACAACAAAAAAAGTACATATATGTTGATGAACCAGCTCTTATAAAGACCTACAATGAGAACATGGAGGAGTAGACAGGTGCAATCAAAATATAGGATTGTATAGAACTTCTATACGCGGAAAAAAATAGTATTTTTCGCTCATTTCCCATTGCTTAGATATGACTACTCACTACGCTTGGCAGTTGTCTAGAAAAAATGGTGGCGAATACGACCATCTGCAGTTTAGAAGGAGCATTGCGACAGGTTTACTTGAAACATACAAAAAAATGTGAATCGAAAAGCAGGCCGCACTTCTCAGAATTTTAGAGAAATTTCGAGGTATGATGACATAGGTCACATAATAAAATATAGGGATAACCAATTAAGATGTGCTATATGTCACAAAAAAGCTAAATTTTTCTGCTAAAAAAAATTAGATTAAATTAGATTCGCAAGCGCCTTTCCATCTATTTTTTGATAATTTCTTCACATCTATCCCACTCATCGATGAACTACGTCTGAGAGGTTTGAAAGCTACAGGTACTATAAGAGAAAATCATCTGTCCAAATGTCCACTCCCGTCAAATAAAGAAATTAGATCGTGGAGCCTATAAGAACATGTCTACTAGAACTGAACAAATTTTAATTTGCAAATGGAATGACAACAGTGTAGTATCTGTTTCATCGAATTCCGCAAAAGTGCAACCTACAGAAAAAATAAAAAGATTTTTGCAACAACAAAAAAAGTACATATATGTTGATCAACCAGCTCTTATAAAGACCTACAATGAGAACATGGAGGAGTAGACAGGTGCAATCAAAATATAGGATTGTATAGAACTTTTATACGCGGAAAAAAATAGTATTTTTCACTCATTTCCCATTGCTTAGATATGACTACTCACTACGCTTGGCAGTTGTCTAGAAAAAATGGTGGCGAATACGACCATCTGCAGTTTAGAAGGAGCATTGCGACAGGTTTACTTGAAACATACAAAAAAATGTGAATCGAAAAGCAGGCCGCACTTCTCAGAATTTTAGAGAAATTTCGAGGTATGATGACATAGGTCACATAATAAAATATAGAGATAACCAATTAAGATGTGCTATATGTCACAAAAAAGCTAAATTTTTCTGCAAAAAGTGTGAAGTTACATTGCATCCTAAGCATTGCTTTGAAAATTATCATACTATAGATAAGTTCTGCTCTGTTGCGTCTCTCTATTTTGAAGGAACCCCAATAAAGTTTTCTCCTGAAGTTGTAGACCTGGGTATACAGATTGACCATTCTCTCAATTGGATAGCACAAGTAGACGCTATAAGCTGTAAGGTGATCGGTATACTTCGGTCATTCTATCAATTCAAAAATTTTCTCCCAATATCTTCTAAAATTCTCTTGGTTCAATCCGTAATTTTGCCCATTATAGATTATGCTGATGTGTGTTACGCTGACATATCTCAAGAACTTCTTAACAAATTGGATCGATTGCTCAACAACTGCATTCGTTTTATTTTTTGTCTCCGTAAATACGATCACGTTTCTGCCTTTCGGAAGAAGTTAAATTGGTTAACAATTCGCCAACGTCGAAATCTCAGAATTCTTTCCACCCTATATTCAATCATTAATGATCCATGTGCTCCTGGATATTTGAAATGTAAATTTCGGTATCTTGGCAGTTTCCATAATCTGAATCTTCGGTCTAGCAGCAAACAAACTCTAGCTTTTCCCTCTCACCATACTGGTTTTGTTTCCAACTCATTTTCTCTTCAAGCTATACGACTCTGGAACGCACTGCCTCCTCATATTCAAGATGCTCCGAACAAACTGGCTTTTAAACGCTCCGTACGTCATCATTTATTAGATTCCTCCTCCGCATCCTCCTGATATGATATATATTTGTATGTATATTCTAAATATATATATATATATATATATATATATTATTATTTATGTATTTTTATAGATATTTATTTTATGTAGTATATATATATTATCTTGTTTCCATAGATATAAAAATATAATAAGTAATTTGATGAATTCTTTTTGCACTACCTTAAGATTTTTGCTAAAATTCTCCGGTTGACTGGTAGAGAATGCCTAATGGCATTAAGTCCGCCACTTGTACATACTTTTGTGCAATAAAGTATAAATAAATAAATAAATAAGTAACTGGTGTATTTATATGAGTGTGTATTACAATTTGAATGTAAAATAAACATATTTTGTAGCATAACACCGTTGTTTTGTTGTTTTGCGTACTATTAACTCATTCAAACGAAGCCAAGTATTTGAGCAGAGCAAAGCAGTATATAAAGCTAGCGTACGTTTAAAAGTACACCTATTTCCCGCTTTTCCGATAATTATATATTTTTTTTATATTTTTCCTAGTATGAGAGGATATTACATAGTAACATATGTAAAAATCATAACCATCCAAGTAAGTAAAATCTTTCAGACTCAGTGGGTTAAGGCACATAAAATACAGGTTAAGCAACACATAAATAATATTATTAGGCGTTGTAAGAAGCTGGTGTCCGAAATAGGCGTTAACCTGTACTACGGATCACCAGATTCTTACCCCTGGCAAATAATCTCTATACATTAATCTTCATAACCATAATGACCCTGTATTTCCTAATATTTATTCATGATAAATACAAAAAAAAA